CTGCACAATGGAACCATACACGTCACATGTCAACATAATACACGTGTGGTAGCTGCACAATGGAACCATACACGTCACATGTCAACATAATACACGTATGGTAGCTGCACAATGGAACCATACACATCACATGGCAATGTAATACACGTGTGGTAGCTGCACAATGGAACCATACACGTCACATGTCAACATAATACACGTATGGTAGCTGCACAATGGAACCATACACGTCACATGTCAACATAATACACGTGTGGTAGATGCACAATGGAACCATACACGTCACATGTCAACGTAATGCACATCAGGTAGGTGCACAATGGAACCATACACGTCACATGTCAACGTAATACACGTGTGGAAGCTGCACAATGGAACCATACACGTCACATGTCAACATAATGCACATCAGGGTTCTCCAAGAGCACTTATAGCCTAGTGGCCCGCCAGGCTATCGTCGAGCCCCGCCATCCTAAAATGCACCCGCCACTCTAAATATCATAGCCGCTATGCTAAATATCATAGCCCCCGGACCCCCCTAGCATGCAAACCGCCTTTGGCGATTTACAACTAGGACCGTAAAGGCAGCACCCTTATGCTATAATGAAAAAGCTTGGAGAACCCTGCACATATATACTGTAGGTGCACAGTTTTGCGTTTCGCGCGACGTGTTTTGACGACCGCGTAAGCGCGACGTTGTGCCTTCCTACTCCCGCAGCTATGAGTCCGGTATACTGGAGAACCCGGACACGGTTGCCCCCGACGACCTGTACCAGATGACGCGTGATCCCCGCACGGCACCCGACACCGCCGACCGGGTCAAGATCGAGTTCAAGGACGGCGTGCCGGTCAAGGTCACAAATCTTGGCGACGGTGTGGAGAAGAAGACCCCGCTGGAGATATTCTCCTACTTGAACGAGCTTGGGTGAGGGCGGAGTGAGAGGGCGCCACGTGGCGAGAGGGCGTCGTGTGGCGGGGCGAAAGGGCGCCGCGGGGCGAGAGGGTGTAGCAGGGTGAGAGGGTGCCGTGTGGTGGGACGAGAGACCAGAAAGTTTCTGCATACCAATTTTGGATTGCTTTCATTTACACCCATGAGAAAATCTAGCAGCATTATCTGTCATATCTTTATTTCCTGATATATTTTCATAACAGGGGGAAGCATGGTGTTGGAAGACTTGACATCGTAGAAAACCGATACATCGGGATGAAATCCAGAGGTATTCGTCAATCTGATATCTTCTCATTTTAATTTTAGTCCATTGTACCGTATTAATACATGCAAAGTGATACAGAGGGCAACTTGTGGTTGCATCAGAGCTTGGAAAAATTAACTATGAGTGTCAGTTTCACTCAAGCTGTTGGTCCCTTTCAGGTATATATGAGACCCCTGGTGGCAAAATATTGTATGATGCCCACATGGACTTGGAGGTATTCACAATGGACAGAGAAGTTAGGAAGATCAAGAAGTTGTTGTCTCTGCAGTTTGCTGAACAAGTCTATAATGGTACTATTTTACAAACAATTCCAACAAATTTACAAAATTACAAAATTTCAACAAATTTTGGTACAAGTCTACAATGTGTCTATTTTAGAGAGTGAAGAGTTAGCAGAGGGAAAGGGTGGTTAAAGATAAAATACTGCTCGTAGTGAGGGCTATAGACTTTGAGGCTAGTTGGTGCCTTACTCTTAGGAAGGGGGCAGGTTTCATGCCACTGAAAGGTTTTCGAGCGTGATCTAAGTCGCCATCACCTTCCCACACTCCATCTGTGATGAGCAATGTGTCGTCATCTGCTGCTACATGTAGTGCAAAAAATATTGTCAACCTTCCTAGTTCTACCTTCGTATTTCTACCTTCGTATTTCTACCTTCCTATATCTACCTTCCAATTTCTACCTTCCTACTTCCATCTCGTCACTCTATCCCACTCCTCCCCTTGAAGTACGGTGAGTCCGTGGGGTTGACATGTAACCTCATCGTTGTGTTACATCGCTGCAGGAATGTGGTACAGCCCTGAGTGCGAGTATGTCCGCAGCTGCATAGCAACAAGCCAGGGCTGCGTTGTTGGCACGGTAACGCTGGCCCTGTACCGGGGAGGCGTGTACATTGAGGCGCGCAACTCGCCTATCTCGCTCTACAACCAGGAGCTGGTCAGGTGAGTTGATGTAGCCATCTTGCGGCAGCCATCTTGCGGCAACATGCCGCGGTATAACGTCTGCATGAGCGTTGCCGTAGTTACAAAGTCATCTTGTGCTGCGAGTTAAAGCGTCTTCGAAACTAATTTACCTATTTTTCGTCATAATTCATGGCGTATGAAGTGTTAGTATATTCGGCGAGTGAAAACTGCTTACAGAATGGGCAGTTGAAGTAAGTTTCACGTGTGCTGGGCAGATGTGGAGGAAGGAGTTGGCTTCATCAACTCCTGTTACTTTGTTAAGTGCACGTGCTATTCATGCCAAGAACCAGTGATTTCATGTGAGAAACTGTCATGCTGATCTTAGATCATGTTTTATGACAATCAGTACTGCTACTGCTGCTCCTGATGCTACTACTAACACCAACCCCACTACCACTGCCACCACCAGCACCACCCCTACCACCGCTGCACCACCACCATCATCCCTACCACCGCTGCACCACCACCATCATCCCTACCACCACTGCCACCACCAGCACCACCCCTACCACCGCTGCACCACCACCATCATCCCTACCACTGCTGCACCACCACCACCACCACCACCAGCAGCAGCAGCACCACCACCACCGCCGCCGCCACCGTCACCTCCCTGGGTGATAAACTTTGCCCAGGTTAGTAATTTATGTCTCTGTCTGTTGTGATGTAGCATGGATGTGCAGGGTGACTACGACCCCATCGATGCTGCCGGCTTTATTCGCATCAACGCCCTGCGCCTGAGGGAGCACCAACGCGTGCACAAGTAACAAGCTACAAGCAACAAGCTCTCAACCATTCCAAACCTTGCGCACAAGGTATGGCTGATGGCTTGCGCTGCCGTCTGTTCCTTAGGTTGCAGTGAAAATCGTCTTTCATGGTGGTTTGTGTTTGGTACGTTTTAATTCACAAGCTAAGAATAGGTGCTACTTAATTTACGTGGTGTGGACATTTATCTGTGGTGATTTTTTATAACAGATTTGAATAAAGGTATATCAACTTTATATATATATATAAAAATATATATACTTTTGGTAGCTGTTTTTTTAGCTCATCTGACATAGTCAGATGCAGCTTGTAGAATCGCATGATCGTCCGTGCGTCCGTCCGGTCGTCCGTCAACAGTTGGGCACAAATCTTAACCGCTCGACGTACGGTCACAATATTCGGGTCGTTGGGGGGGATCGTCAAAACGAGTTGGGATGTCGAAGCTGGGGGTCAAAGGTCAAAGGTCAAGAGGTGTAAAAGAAGGGGGAACATTCACTCCTTAACTTAAGGTATAGGGAGGAAATGCAGAATTGCGGCACAAATCTAAACGGCTCGACCTAGGCTCGTGATAGTCGGTGTATAGCATCATGGTAGGAAAAGCCATCACTGTGCAGAAATTGGAGGTCACAGGTCAAAGGTCAATGGGCACAGGGCAGATTTTAGACATTTTCTGAGGACATGGTCTGACGGAGCGATTGAAAAACTTTTTTGTTTCAGCGGTGACCTAGCATTTTTATGGCTTTATTGAAAGGACCATGAAATGTCCCTTCTGCTGACATCCGAAGAGTAAGTGTCGGATAACCTTTTGACCCTCAAGAGGAGGGTTAAACATGGATTTGTTGACTGTTAACAAAGGAGTGAACTGCTTTTGCTATTAGAGCCCCCTCCCCCACCCCCTCCCCCCACCCTCCATCTGCGATAGTGGGCGTGTCCTAACAATGATGTGTACGCAACTGCGTGTCTGCATATCTGCGCCTAACAAATGTGGTACTACGCACGACTGAAATTTTACGTTTATAATCGTAGCAACAGACCTCAGATGAGCCCAGACGCTCTGCGGCTCTTGTTTGATGTTGTAGTTTGTTTAGGCTGCTCCAAGTTCATACTGTGCCTGGTGTTTGAATGGACGGCAGCTCCGGCTTTACGAAAATGGTACTTTTAAGATTATAGTTACGCACGAAGGGTCGTTGTCGTATCAGGTACTACGTATATGTACCCGAGGTAGTTTTAGGTTGTTTACTGTTTAGTATTATGTTTATATTTTTATATGAGGTATGTTTAGGGTTAGGGTACACTTCTGTAGTACAAGTCTGGTACACTTTGTGTATACATATATGCACCTCGGGTACATATATGTAGTACCTGATACGACAACGACCCCTTCAGCTATAGTTACAGGTAATGGTGTATGCATGACACATTCCAGATTGATATATGCTTGAACAGCTACAGCAAATTCTAAGTAGGATCTAAAGTAATTCGATGTAACATCATTCAGCACCAATTCAAACATTTACACCAAACAATACACGAGTAATTGAATGTGGATACAGGATGCAAATGTGCACAGCGTGTATATATGACGTTAATAAATGTGTTTGCCTGGCATTTCCTAGCACCACGCCTGTACATACACAAGTAGACCAGCAGTGAAAAATTCAGGATTTAGGTGTGTAGTAGCACTGGATTTCTGGCCTTTATACTTGCATGTTGATACATGGCAGCGTTTTCATTTGCATCGCTGGGTTCTGAATATGCAATATTGTTTAAATAGTCGCAGCTTTGGATGGATTTGTAAGGAACGAATTTATTCATATTTACATGTATTGAGCCTGAGGGATCATTTAGCATACATCCGTTGCATATACACCATGTATCCCAACAATCTAGGAGGTGGGAGAGCGCAGGGCCGTAGATTTTGGGACAAAATTAAAAAATAAGCTTAGCTAATAATCGTAAATAACCCTAAAGTGATTTCTTGGGTCACTTATCCATAAATGCCTTGTCTCAGACCCACCCCTACCACACTATGGACGTCGCTCATCATTACACAGTTGTCAAGAAATTTTGCACCCCCCCCAGGAATTTGCTCAGCCTACGGCCCTGGGGGGTTCGAGTGCGTAATTTGGAGGCGTTAGGACTTGATACTGCTTTAAGCCGACATTGGAAATTTGTTCATTAACATTTAACGTTCCATTAAAGAAGCTAGTTCAAGCTACACGGGTTCACATAATCTGTAAATATAACAATGAACACACCACTAGTTCCAGTGAAATGACTGTCATTTACAGCATGAATTAAATACATGAGCTATCAATGCCCACATGGTCCACCATTAACAGTCCATTAAACTATTACGCATATATCTCAGCCAGCTAAAGACACGTTGAGAACAAGCACAAACAAGAAATAATATATTCCTTGAAGAAAAACAATGTTTGAACAAGCCCTGCAGATAACAACGCCCTCCCAGCTAACCTATCCGAGAGATATTCCATGTAGCACTTCTATGACCATTACAGTTACACGATGTTTCACATTTAAAAAATATATTTACACCACTTTTTAAACAATTACATAGCAGGTTGAAAACATGTTTACATTATGTACAGAAACTCACTCTTAATTTTGCATCAATTCACATAATAATCAACAAACTCCTCACTGAGTCAACTAGTATTTGACATTTGGTACATAAACCGATTCACCTAAGTAAAACACCTACACTAACCTTTTATACAGTTTATATTCTCCGCTTGTACAATAGCATTTAATATTAGCTATTAACATTTATATTTAAATAGCCTAAATAACGACAACTGTACGTTTTTGAATGAAATTTACAAATCAGAAGACAGTGAACCACCTGATTATTTAATGCTGTTTGTAGTGCTAGAATGAAAGAATCCATATATCCATATATATGTTTGATTGGATACATCCATGCTCAATAGCTGATACTCATCTGTATTAAATTTTACTCGGAATAATTAACTACTCGAAAGGGTTCAACGCTATGGCCGGTATTACGTACACACATTCTGGTAAGGCTGTTCTCTCTGAACTGTAAAGCATTAGGCATGTTCTCTCTACTCCAGCAACCGTTCTCTACCATGAACTGTACAGTAATGGCTATGTTCACTCGACTTTAACAAGTGAACAGTGCAGTAATGGCTTCTTCTTCTTCTCGGGTCACTACACAATACTACACTCGACCTAGCCGTGTGGCTATATTCATTGTTTAATTGTTCATTGTTTAACGTGGCTGCTATGTGACATGGCAGCTAGTATCTACAATCACTGTGATCCACACGCTGCGTTAAGTCGTGCCGCTGTCCGTGATGGTCATCATGTAGTCTCGCAACTCGTCTTGCATTTTGTGTGAATCCGGAACCTCAGTGATGACCCACGAGTCCTTGGCACTGTTCACCCGATGCCTACATATGGGGCAGGTCTTACTTGTCACGTTCCTATGAATATAAACCAAAGCTTCAGTGGAAGCTTCAGAAAGGAAGAAGCTATACGACATAGACCTGCTAAATTACACGCCTGTGGACTTCAGGTATGTACGAAAGCACATGCAGAAAAGCAGTTGACTCAATAGCAAATACATGCCCCGCCCCCACCACCACCAAAAGCAGGGTGCAAAGATTGGAGGGCAAGGTTGAGGTCAAAGTTTCCAACGGCCACGAAGGTCCAGCTAACACACTATGCACTACAGCATTCTTGTAGCACCAACTTGGGAAGCGACTGAGGAAACCAAGGTAGCTGGTTCGTGGGGTGGTTAGTCGGTGTCTTCTGTTAATGATCCCTAAATGTTCAGAATTTTTACCCCTAGCAGAACATAGTAGGAGTTTGTTCTCCTTTGTAGTTCCAGAGTTTGGGCCGACTCCCGGAGTTTTTCCTTTAGATTTGATTTGTTAAAACTCCAGAATCCGCATCGCTTGATGGTTGAGGGAGTGGCTATCAACTGTGTGGTTTAGGCGGTTGCCCGTCTGTTTGAGGGCGAGAAGGCATGCACGAAAGTAATGCATACGCCCAGGCTCTTTCCTGAGGAACCTGTATGCTCTGCATGTGCGGCACGTGCTGGGGGACGGGCTTCCGTATTATAAACCCGAGTCGGTCTTGTACGAGTATGCAGGCACTGATAGCATCCAACTGAAATATAGGAGGACGCCACAGGCAACATGGGTTAATGGAAATCCAGGGCTGCATCACCGAGCAAGCTGATGGGACACCTTGATAGCCCACGTGGACCACTGTCACCGTGCCACGTAGACCAGTCGGCAGGTATCACAAGGCACTCACGTACTGTTGAGCCTGTGTACGTCGTAATATATATATATATATCGTTATAATAAAGCCATCTATATTATACACAACGCCTTCGACCATCATTCCGTATGTTCTGTGACGACATAGGAAAACTTTCCCTTCATTAACTCTTAGCTTAACAATCATACACTGAAAGACCATACGCACACGATGGAGATGCACGTATTGACATTATTCTCACAGCCTCGTCAGGCTACGTGGTCTCTGTCACAGCCTCGTCAGGCTACGTGGTCTCTGGCGTATCGCAAGCAGACGCGTGCGCGCGTGACTCACCACTGCTCTATGCACAGCTGGCAGTAGTGATGTGTGCAGGGCAGCAGGACGTCCGGCTTGCGGTCCATACATATGCAGCACTCCTCGCCTACGTCGTCCGCCGCGCCGCCGCACGCAAGCCTGCCGACAAACATCGTACCGTTACTAGCGCCACCTGGTGCTTGCAAACTAACCCCCCTAACGAGCTTTGCAACGTGTGCCGCAAATACCAAGTTGACGTCGCGCGATCGCTGGTTGCCGCGGTTACGACTCACTTCTGGAGAAGCACGGAAGCCTCGAGTCCGTCACAGATTCCGGAGCCGCCGGCGCACGCTCCCAGGTCATCAAAGTCCACGCTCGACGCGGCAGAGATAGGGGGCGCCAGTGTAGCGGCGTGCTGCTTGATGACGTTGTAGAAGTTGACAAACTGTCGCAGGTTCAACAGACGACTAGACTCTACAGTGCTGCCATTCATCTGTAGTAACCATGGCAACATCAGGTTAGGGATCCAGCAGGAGACACGTGACCACTATTAAATCACTACCGGTTCATTACCCTGTTAGGTTAGAGGGTGTGACGTGTCGGCCGACCAATCGGAGGGCCCGCAGCTCGTGCACTAACACTGACGCAATGTTTTGTGGTTGCAGTATTTAGGATGGCTATCGTGTGTGGCAATGACATGCACATGGAGATGGGTTGATGGTTACTGGTAATTTAAAACGAATCCTTTCAATGTATGGCTTCCATTGGACTGCGCGACTGTTCTTCAGGCACAAATGTGGTGCCGGTTACTAAATTCGCGATAATTTTTTTAAACGCTGGACAACATATGACACAACTCTCATGGTGCACAGCTGAAGTACATGGCTACCTAGCTTTAATATATGCCACTCGGCCGAAAACGGTCGAAATACTATTTTTCAGCTCATGAAATTCAATTCTTAAGTATAGGATCCTATGGAGGATTTAATAGTGGTCTGTTTTCTGGAGGATCATCCGTTCTATAGGGACGGCACTACACCGAAGTATTAAACCAGGTTGTCCAGATCACAACCTGATGGAAGAAAGTGGTTGGTCTCAACAAAATTTGGTTGTCCTGAATGTTAATACCATTAACTTTGTAGGAAGGGTTCTATGCAACTGCCTTTTGCACAGGTATTTCTTAGGATTGCAGAGGATAGTGAAAATGAAATTAAACATTAAATGCAATTTTAATTAAGAAAAATATTCAGTAATTGTGGCCGTCAGCGGTGCAACATGAAAATACTGGTTGTCCACAGGACAACGACCTGGAAATGTTGGTTGTGCTGCATGAGTTTTGGTTGTCTAGGACAGCAGGATCTCCACTATTTCCACAAAGGTGTCTGTCTGCTCAAACAACTCAGGTTATCCAACCGTGAGCACACGTACCTTAACGCAGCGAATTCGTACGGTGCCTTTCCATAAAACTGAATCGTCTGTTCCGTTCTTAACGGCAAAGCAAAGCTTTTTGCCATTTGGTTCATACAGATGCAGCGTTCTGAAAAAAAGCCATATATAATGAATAGGCACAATGATTATGCCATGTAGCCAAATTCTTGATTCTGGATACACAAACCACCTGATCTTACAATGAAAGGATTTTCACTGATGCCTTTATAATGCTCAATCTAGGAAAATTTATAACTGACCGATCTCAGTCTATAGTAAGCATTATTAACACTGGTGTGAACTGGCTAACGCTCCATTAGGAGTGTTCCCAACTTTGATATCATTAATGATTAATGATTGATAATCCTAACCCTAACCCTAACTTAAATGACATTAAACCACAAACTAATATATGACCATGACCATATTTATATATATATATATGTTATTATGACCATTAATGACATTAAAGTTGGGAACACTCCTAATGGAGTATCACCCTAGCTGTGAACTGAACTTAATCTGGATGATGTACTGCCTCAGAATTATGGTCATTACAATCTCGCGTACATTTTGTTCAGTTCTTCTACACTCCCGAGGAAGTCTTCGTATGTGAGCGTCGCTAACCGCTTCAGCGTGCCTGCATGGTGAAACAGGATCTCCTGGATGCTGGATACTGTGATCGGTTCTGCCAATGAACTGTTCACAGCTCCCATTACACTGCAACAAGGTGGAAGAGCAGAAACGCTGCTATTGGCCTGACGTCACAGCACCACGGCCGAGTACAAACGATGCCACGATGAATGGTATGGGCAGGGGAGCAAACAAAATGAGCTGACAGGCTTTTAGCCTACCCTAACGGCTGAATTATGTATAAATAATAGTATGAATAAGATATGATAATGATGTAGTTGATATGAAATGATATGCCATTGGACACAGGCACACTGCACGGTAGACCAATAAATTGTGCCCTAAAATTTTTTATATTCTGATGTTATTTTATGGCCCAATAGCCTTCCATAGACAAAACCTGTGAATTTTGTTGTGCAAAATGCACGACAACCTTTTCACTATTTACGGCCGTGTTACATAGAAAATCAAAGAAATACCTAAAGCCGTCGCTTTATTAACATCTTACCTACATTACAAAACACTTGTCATGCAGTATTCTCCTCTTTAATCACGTTTATTTTATTAAAACATCACGACATAAAAATCACGCAAACTTCGCTACAAACAAAACTGGCAATCTTGCATTGAAACGCACAACGATATTTCTCACCGGCCAATATGAAATCATCGCTGTCCAGTGCGGTTCAATGCAAGATTCCCAGTTTTGTTTGTAGCGCAGTTTGCGTGATTTTTATGTCGTGATGTTTTAATAAAATAAACGTGATTAAAGAGGAGAATACTGCATGAAAAGTGTTTTGTAATGTAGGTAAGATGTTAATAAAGCGACGGCTTTATAGGTATTTCTTTGATTTTCTATGCAACACGGCCGTAAATAGTGAAAAGGTTGCACGACAAAATTCACAGGTTTTGTCTATGGAAGGCTATTGCCAGTATTGTGCCCTAAAATAACATCAGAATATAAATTTTTTTAGGTCACAATTTATTGGTCTAACTGCACAGTACACTGTACAGTAGTCAGTAGTATACCAACGCAGATTCTATTCATTCGTTTAAAAAAACGTAGGCCATTTCACCGTATAAAGTACAAATACAGGACAAGTGATAATGCTACTGACATACTGTGGATGATTGCACCACTGATTCAGGAATGTGGTTTTTGGATTCAGACGATTTTACTGATCACTGTAACACTGTGACTGTGAGTCAAGAGGCTATGCCATTGCATTGTCATTGATTATCGTTTATTATAATATAAATGACTGGCAGCTATTACTACATATTCGAAGTACCATACGGTCAGCGGTGATCTCAGCCAATGAAGAAAACTCGTTTAATTTTGAGGCATGCACGGATAAAATTATATAACATCGACAATGAATAACAACACGTTCACACTGCGATCTGCCACTACTCTTGTATAAACTCCATCGACGTCACGAGTCGACCAGGGGTCAACCTAGGTCAACCCATTGTATCGTATCGAACCGTATCGTATGTGTCCCACTCTGCCAATCGGGAACCCTCGGACCATTCAACAGAATAACGCTTTTCTAGGCATGACTCTTTTCTAGAGATGACTTTTTGAGAGATGACTCTTAGAGGCATGACTCTTTGCTTTTCTAGGATAACTCTTTTCTAGGCATGACGGGAAGAGTCGAATGGGTTTTCCGATTGCCCACTCTGCTTGTATTTCACAACCTAGTGGGGACACTTGTGGTTAGTATCAGGCGCGAATTTAGGCCGGTTTGCACCGGTTTCCAGAAACCGGTCACAGGCTGGGTATCTTCAGAATTGACCCTCAAAATTTACCAGAATGCACCAAATATAGCCTAATTTTTTTTAAATTCCCCGGGGCATTTAAAAGTTCCCGTTCATACATACATAGTACAAACATGATTTAGTTACTTACGATTTAGTCGTGTCAGCAATGTAAAGAATTTATTGTTGGACAACTGAACAAATCTATCAATCTTTAGTTGAATTTCAATTATGTTTTTGATTAGATTGAAGTGTAGTCTACATTATAGAGAAATGATGCGCTAATGAGTCATAGCTTGGCCACGCCTACACGCACGCTTTTCCTTGACATCATAATGCAAGAGGCGTGTTCAACAGCGCGAACGCTCGCGTGCACTCACGTGCGCGCGCCCTCTGAACAACACTGCGCGGTCGAGCACTCGCGAGCACACGCGATCAGGCTCCCGAGACTGTTCGCGCAGCATGCGAGTTGTTTTCAAGATGGCGACGGGAAATCTGGCGAATGCAAATCTAACACTTCTGACTTCAATTTCAATCTATTTCAACTTTATTTTATTTTTCATTTATTTATTTACCTCTAAATTCAATTCATATCAATTTAGTCTGCTAATTCGTTTAACAGTACTTGTTCGAAGACATTACAATCTCGCGATTAAAATTTGCTGAGGAAGCCGCCATCTTGGATAAAGCGAGCGCTTGTGTGTTGTTCAAGTGGCGCTGCGTTTGTGCTGCGAGCGTTTGCTGCGAGCGTTCGCGGTGTTGAACACAGGTAAGAAACAGCAGCATATGATAGCCATAGCTATGGCTCTGCCATAGCGTAGTCCATATAGATATCAATATATTGTTATATAGATATCACATATGATATCAAGAGTCTATAATAGAAAATGTTCTACTATCGACTCTTGATGATATCTATGGCGTAGTCCTATCACTCTCCTAGTTACAGGTTGCGTTAGATTGCAGACAGCGTCGTTGATGTGGTTTAATTCTTCCATTCATATATGAACCTAGAGATGGCAATGTCCTATGAAGATTCTTGTTTTGTTTTTAAATGCAAGACGTGCATGATAGAATTAAAGGCTTACTTTAAAAATAAGTACACTAATGACGGGTCTGACTTGCGTAGTGGGGGAGATAAAGAAGACATAATTGTTACATTTATATCATTGCTTTGAATATGGGGATATTAATAAAGGGGAGTCCATTAAAGACTGGAAATGTGACGATCCCAATAAGTGCTTCCGACCACGTGAGGAAATTACTAAAATATAGGAATCAAAGAATAAGATTAGCAGAAATAAATGCTGGAAGTACATGTCACGATACTATTCGGTACCATATGAGTAATATAGCGTTAGAGCCACCCGGGAAGGTTCTGAGAATCAAAACTGAAACCGACTTGTTATTCATTATCTGGTTCTGTGTGAATTGGTTGTGTTATTGAGTGGCTTGTTAAATAAATGTGTTCTGTTCATTAAAAGATATATAGTTCGTGGTATCCTGAACGCGACAGTACAAATCAATTAAAAAGACGAGATAAAAGTTTACATTCCCAGAATATCCTCGCACCTTTACCAGAACTGCGCAGTGATGTTTTGTGAAACACGAGTGGGACAACATACGATACTATACGATACAATGGCGCTTTTATCACTTTTGAAAATGGCGTCGTGTTTGTTTTCTATTTGTTATTTCGCACCCTTTAAAGCATGTTTTCTCCCTATTTTCAGCTCTGTGACACTCGGTATGGAAAGTAGAGGGACTGAAAACATTCCATATTTATGAGGTAAGCTTTCTCTGTAGCCTTATGGTTAAGTTAGCACTAGGCAATGCATTACACCTGCTCAGGCAATGCCAATGGTCTATCGTCAATCATGGCACCATATTTCGCTTTCGGTCAGTGATCATTAGCAAGTGTATTGACCTACTGTAATATTGTCTTAGTAGCAGTATACGTGTATGTACATTATGGAGCAGGAACCTCGCTCTGTTCAATGTAAAGTTTGTTAGTGTTAGAGTTGGCACTTACGGTGCTACAGATCCAGACAGTGACAGTGTGTTTTTATTCGACCCCTCTCAATCCATCAGTCATGAAACAAGTTAGTGTAACTAGTATTAGTACAGTCGACCTCGCTTAATTCGCCATCATTTTATTCGTAGAATGACCTAATTCGTACAAAAACGTGATCCCAATATTTCTCTTCTTTATTCCCTTTAATTTCCATTGTATAATTCGTATTCTGTAATTCATATTCATAATTCGTACAAAATTCTCTGGTCCAATTAACGTTATTCAATTAAAAATGACAAGCGTAATTCGTCGGGGATGTTTGTTTAATTATGCAAGCAACATTTGATCTTTGAGAATACAGTAAAACTCGCATAAGTCGTCATCGTCTAACTTGTAAATTCGCATAAGTCGTCATGGAAGTCAAAGTCCCGATTCGCTCTATTAGTAAATCCATTGGAATAGCCCCGCCTAAGTCGACATTTATAAGTCGTCATTATGTACAAGTCGACGCCCTCAGACAGGTCCCATGTAATACAAACAACAGTAATTTCCCATCTGTACGTCGTCAAAAGAGCTGGCTGTCGCAGATATGCGCTTTTAGGTTGAACCGACGATCGCCTGTAGATCGCACAACTGAGTTTACATGAGTTGTTGCTATGTGCACTGATTGCTTCATTCGCATTGTTTGCTTGGACGCATTGTTTCATAAATCGTTGTTTACACGAATTATCTATTTATTTTGTGGTTTCTATGGATTAAATAGAATTCGTAGAAAATACGAATTAAGTCTAATTCGTTTATTACGTAATTCGTAGAAAATGCTGTGGTTCCGTCTGATACGAATTAAGCGAGATTGACTGTATTACTATTAGCTTGTATCAGGAGACGTGACTAATTATCACAACATGGGATGTAACATTGATATCAACTTATGCAGGGTTTGAAATCATCTCGAAGACGAAGCAGGAGGAGAATAAACAGTAGGCAAAGAAGAAGAGGAGAAAGAAGAAGAATAACTAGAAGAAGGAGACGACGACGAAGTAGCCATCTTCTGGATGTCCGGTCAAGCAGCACCAACAGCACTTCATGTTGCATGCAGCGCCATTATTCAGCAGCATCTCAGCGTAGCTCTCTGAACGTGTCAAATTGATATCTGATTCCACAATATGGATACAAGAACACGGTGTATAGGAAGACGATGCAAGGACATGTGTTCATGAGGAAAATCATGAAGCACATAGAAACATTCAACACACTAATGGATGAGCAGCATGGGTTTGAACCACAATATAGTTCAGAGACTCAGCTGCTCACAGCATCACATGGACTAGCAGAGTCAACTGATGAGTGAAGGCAGACTGACTTAACCATACTGGACTTCAGCAAGGCATTTAATCTACCAGTCTCTTAGCTGCATTGAACCACTAAGAGACATTCTACCAGTGACTTGGGTCATTCTGTTCAAACAGAAGCTGAAGATTCTTCCCACGTTACAAACTACGAATGCCGAGGCACAGGATTAGAAAATCTTCATACAGGAGCCGCAGTTGTTGCTGCCATGGTTTCTCTATAACTTGTAAAGGCCCTTTCTGAGTACACCCTAGTGATGGCTGAGGCTGTGCCGGTTGGGTTTCGCACCCAGTGGCCGCTACGGTAGCCGGATTGGTTCAGACCTGAAGGGACGAAAGGTTTGGGGGGAAACTACAATAAACCGTGGCGTGCGACGACTGCACATCTTGCTTCCACGTCGGATTTATGAAGATGGCATCGGCTCTTATCTTGCTTTCATCCCATCGGATGTGTCAAGGATCTGGTGTGACTGAAGGGTACCTAACTTTGCCACTCAACGTCAGTGTTTTCACCTTTCCCAGTCTGCTTTGGGTCGGTCAAAACTCATTGTCTGATACTTCACATATCACCATTGGTTATGAAGACTCGTGTGTTGGGTGGACAGGTATGGAGCAAGGTGAGTACTGTATATGATTGCAACATAACTGTCCACATGTCAGCTTGTCAGTGACATTGGGACACAGCTGTTCCTTGAACTATTTTCTATATTCAGCAGTACAAACATAAATTGGAACCACTTGACAATGTTTAAGACCGATTTATTTTAGAAATGAATATTGAATAGTAGAAATATGTATTCTGTATATATAATTGTAGACTGATTTATTATTTTAAATCAATATTTAATTATAAAAATTATATCTGGTGGGTAATATATCCTTGGTATAAATACTGGTGCAAGCTTGATTATTTGTTATCCTGTTATCCGTTCACTCTGTATGTGTTTGATATGCAGGCATATCAGAGAGAGACAAGGAATAATTGGTGCCAAGGTGCTAGCTTATGAGGCTGGGATTGGAGCATGCTAACATTTTGGTAATTCAAACATCTTCCATGCTAATTTTCCTTACTAGCTCTACCTTACAGTGAGTAATTCGTTTCTTGATTCTAGGAAAGAGCTTTGGCATTGACTTTCATGTACATCACAGTTTTTTGCTACATTTTTCCAATTTTTGTGTGGATTTATTAACTTCCATATATATTGATCATTATATACCGTATTTACTCGTGTCTAAGTCATAATTTTTTATACACTACTTCAATGAAAAAAAAGTGGTGCGACTTATACATGGGGCTATGAAATCTTGTGCAAGAAATGTCATCGTTATCGCAACCAGCCACTATTATAAATGCCAAACCGCACGGACATATTGGTACATAGGCGGGATACATTGGCGCAGTCATCTTGAATAAATAATCGTACTTTTCAATGTATGAAAACTAAGCCCAGAGAAGTTATTCTAAGTCTGGTCTTTTGAGCTTGCCGACTGGTTTCATAATTATTATTAATAATATTAATTGATCATTTGGTAGTAACTGCTTATTTACTCAGAGGACAATGACTTGTAATTAAGTGTAAAATCACTGTGTATCAAGTTTGCTGACTGCTATGATATCGTTCAGTATTGAACTGCTCATTGTTTACTTAATTTCGATTATAAAAGTTTTGTACTAACTTTTCAAGGCAAAATATGGGGTGCAACTAAATACACGAGTAAATATGGTACATTAAAATTGTGTATTATAAAGCCTCTAGAGGGTGAGTGTTAGATTATTGTCTTTGATGTTGTTACAGGAGAGGAGACCAGGACAGGAGAGGAGACCCAAAGACAGGACAAGATGCCCAGGACAGGACAAGATGCCCAGGACAACAGAGGACAGGAGTGGAGCACCAACTACCATTCATTAAGAAGCTACATAACACTGCCACTCCTGAGTACTAGTTAGCATGTGCCAGCCCACTTATGTACAAGGTTTTCGTCAAGCTGACAGAAGTTATAAGTGTGTAAATCATTGATGCTAGAACTGTTGTATAAATGCACATGTATTGTTAACGTCAAGTTGTCTAGCTACAATGTGTACATCGTTTCTCAAATGCAAAGTCGTGTTTTTAATTGAGTTCGGTTTTTAGACTTTTCAGCTATTTCAGTAATCGAATAGTTTACAGATTTTTAGTGACAAATTTTGAACATATGTTATTATGCAGTGCAGTGCAGTTGATAAAAGTTTTTAATTGATTGATCAGTAATAATAAGCCAGTTTGACCGGTAACCCTGTTTATTGTCAGGTACAGTTTCAGTCATAGCTTTTAGTTGTTTATAAACATATATTTCACAAAATTGAAGTCAAACTGCAATGGCAGCTGAGATGTCAATAACTTTATTATATTTTGCGTTAGTAAGTAGGGCCAGCTAGGCAGCGATAACCATACGTAGATAATAGCAACTCTGTATTTAGGTAGTGATGCACCGGCGCGGATGCAGCACCGCCCCTAATTAAGCATTCAATATCGCGCAGGCCGCGGGGCGCTCGCTCCNTAAAGAGTGAGGGTATGAGATAATGAGTGAGGGTATGAGATAAAGAGTGAGGGTATGAGATAAGAGTGAGGGTATGAGATAATGAGTGAGGGTATGAGATAAGAGTGAGGGTATGAGATACTCATTATCTCATACCCTCACTCATCTCATAGCCTTAGTTTATATACTAGGTATGAGATAAAGAATGAGGGTATGAGATAATGAGTGAGGGTATGAGATAAGAGTGAGGGTATGAGATAAAGAGTGAGGG